GGGTCCTTGCAGGTCAACCTCTTTTGGCCCTGTGATAGACACTACGCCATCATCTGCAAGTTGTCTCAACGTGCAATTGTCACTAAGACAATTGTCAATTTCTCTAACGTAGAAATTGTACAAAAGGGGGCTTAAACATGAGCCTTGGGGGAGACCCATGTAGCTAAATCGAAAAGCTGTAGAGTTTCCATGAGAAAAGCTCATATGTTTTTCTGACAGCAAATTGTACAAAAAATTATTCATTAATGGAGACAATCCACAAGCGTGGAGTTTCTCTGAAAGAACTTCAACGGATACTGAATCAAAAGCCCCCTTGATATCCAAGAACACAGAAGCCATTTGCTCTTTCTTAGCAAATGCTAACTGAATTTCCGAGGAAAGCAACGCGAGACAGTCGTTCGTTCCCTTACCCCTACGGAAACCAAATTGAGTATCTGAAAGAAGGTGGTTCGTCTCAACCCATTTGTCGAGGCGAAAAAGGATCATTTTCTCCATCAATTTCCGAATACACGACAGCATCGCGATGGGCCGATACGAATTGTGATCCGACGCGGGTTTATCAGGCTTTTTAATGGCTATCACCCTTACTCGTCTCCAATCGTCGGGAACAATATTGAGCTCCAAGAACTGATTGTACAAGTTCAACATGCGCCTCTTAGCGACGTCTGGGAGGTTTTTCAGCAAGTTGAACTTGATTCTATCAGATCCCGGGGCAGAATTGCCACACAAAAGGAGAGCGAGTGAAAGTTCCACCATTGAAAAAGGCTGACTGATTTCGTCTACCGAATTCGCGGTTTCGCGAGGAATCAACTGCGACGGCACGGAATCCGGACACACTTTTCGCGCGAATCCGAGCATTCCTCGCTTTCGTTGTTAGTAGACCGGTTACGCATTCTTCGCGCCGTACTCCAAAGCGTATTCATAGACGTTTCGCGCGACAATCCGTCTACAAACTGCCGCCAGTAACCCCGTTTTTTGGCCTTGATGAGGCTCTTGTGTTCGCGTTCAAGAGATGTGTATGCGTTGAAATGCTCGCGTGTTCCACGTTTCCGAAAAAGTTTAAACGCGTCGGACTTTTTACGGTAAACCTCCGTGCATTGTTGATCCCACCAGAGCGATGGTGTTTTCTTACGAATAGACGATCGCGGCACCGGTCGTGTTTAAGCTTGAAGTGCGCTGTCGACGATGAGATTAGAGAGGAAATTATATTCCTCCAACGGCGGAAGCTCTTCCACTGACGATACTGTATCGTCTATCGCGGATTGGAACTTAGTCCAATCAATGTTACGGGTTAGATCATATGCGACGTTAACGGATTCTGACGAGTTGAACCCACTGGCAATCGAAATTTTGATCGGCAGATGATCACTACCGTGCGGATCCTGGATTACATGCCAAGTGCAATCCAACGATAGTGAATTGGAGCAAAAGGTGAGGTCTAATCTGCTACCATTCGAGGATGGACCAGCCAAACGTGTTACTTCTCCATTGTTAAGTATTGTCATGTTGAAGTTGTCGCAGAGATCATAAATCAAAGTAGAACGGTTATCATCGTACAGCTCCCCCCAGCCTGTACCGTGGGAGTTAAAATCTCCCATGATCAACCATGGAGCGGGAAGTACCGCACATATGTCGAAAAGTTGTTTGCGATTAACAGAGACTCTAGGAGCAATATATACAGAAGCAATACAAAGGCTCTTACCTTTAATGGTAGCCTGACATGCGACAACTTCAATACCGGGGAATTCGGGAAGATTCACTCTATAGAAGGAATGGCACTTTTTGATCCCCAAAAGTACCCCTCCTCCACGTGAATCCTCACGATCCAATCGAATAATGTTAAAATCAAAAAAAGGGAGATCAATTTCTGAAGAGAGCCATGTTTCACAGAGGGCAAATGCATCGCAATTATTGTTATGGACTAAATACTTGAACGAATCTAATTTCGGAATAAGACTTCGACAATTCCACTGTAGAACAGTGATCAAATCCCCGACCTCGTTTGGAAAATTATCCATCGAAGGAGATGATAGCTGCAAGAAGGGGCCATTTTGAAGTCAATTGCTTCAAGAAGGATTTCACAGTGGGAAGCAATGTGAGGACAATGCTTTTCAGAGGATCAGAAATGTTGAGGTATGTGAGAATACCGTCCACGATGTCATCAAATGAGAACAGCCCAGATGAAGAAGGGGTTTCTGTTCTTAAAATTGGGGCATCAGGGGTTTTGGATGTCCCCGGAAGAGGTGGAAAATCCTGGGTATAATCAGTTCTGCGGAATCCAGGAGGAGTAGAAGTCTCCTTTTTTCCACCACTCCTTGATTTGGGCAAGCTGATTTGGGGTTCTTGATCTGCAACTTTCCGCGAACGGATGCGTTTTCGTTTCCGGGCAGAACCTTCCGGAAAACTGAAAGAAACTCCCTCCTCAGCCAAGTCAGAGCCAGACTCGTCATCTGACAAAAGAGCGAAGGGATTTGTTTCGTTGGTCGATGGCTTGGCTGTCTTAAGCATTTCTGCAAAAGACCGCCTGGAACGTTCCTTAAGGGAGCGTTTCATTTTGTCCCCGAGCTGTTTGTACGCCGGGCACGACGAGAGAGCATGAGGAGGAGTTCCATTGCAGTACACGCATTTTGGTGCAGTAGCTGCGCAGGCGCCATCCTCATGCTTCTCCCCGCATGTGGAGCAGCGTGCCTTGTTGCCGCAGTGGGAGGCCGTATGTCCCAACCGCTTACAATTCTGGCAGTTCATGACCCGAGGTACAAACAACCGCACAGGAAGACGAAGTTTTCCCAGCTCGATGTATTGAGGAAGGGCAGATCCAGAAAAGGTCACCCGAAACGAGTCTGTGGGGGTAAAACTCTTTTTACCCTCGCTGAGCGATACTGACTTCATTCTATGAACGGCCAGTATCTTTACCGGAGGAAGCAAGGGGTTCTTGAATCGGCCAACCGCTTGCTTCTCCAGTATCTCGGGGTTCAGACTCGCCTCAGTGACCATGCCTTCGATCTCCACATCAGAGGCTGGAATGTACACCCTATATTCCAGTGTGAAAAATTGGGAAACAGCAATTTCATTGGCCTGTTTCAGGTTAGCGACGGTCACACGAAGTTTGTTGTGCCTAACCTTCGTTATTTCGGTCACGGCAGAGAATCGCTTTGTCAGATCATCAGATATCTGAACAACATTCAAGGGTTTGTTTTTGGGCTGAAAATAGACAACCCATGGGCCAGTCGAGTCATTCGGGTAGGCCCGCAATCTGGAGCTTTTCTCAGCCTGCCCATTGTCAGACTGAGACGACGAACCATGGATGACATCATCATTTTTCTGAGATGAATGGTCATCCATGTCGTCTTCTGACAAAACATCCATTTTGTTCAACTAGTGGGAGCGCAAAACGCTCTCCCACTGAACGCACAGACACAATACACAGAAAACACTACAAACACAGAAATACAAAATGAAAATTTAACTAATGGGGGAGGAAAAGAAACAAGAAAAAAACAAAAACTTATCTGATAATCCTATACTACTACCACCGAGCTATATGTGTAGGCGTTTACACAGATGGCTGGAAGAGACGCGCTGCGTGGAAGACCTTCGTTGTGGTGCACTTGATCGAGGCTCGGTACTCAGCGCACACAGGCGCACGATGATTGCTGAACGATGTAGATGTAGAAACGGGTGCTCACACTCGATGATGATGATACGTAAGCGGGTATGCGTGAGCGCGTATGCGTGACCACGCAACGATGATGCCCAAATCGGTTTGCGAATTACCAATAGCACGGATTAATCGTTCCGAAAATGACACTTTCTACTACAAAAAAACTCACTTCTCGATCAATTTACCGGGAACTATGCCAGGAGTCACTTAGTGAGAAAAAACTGATAATTTATATCAAGCGAATACCGAGAAAACTTCCAAAACAACGGAGCGCGAAACTAGTCGACCGTACTTCTTGCTGTCAAACGACAATTGAACGATGTATATAGTTGGAGATGCTTAACGTCAAATATCAGACTTAAAGTGATAATTTTATACGATAGAGAAGAAGATGAAAGTATAGAGTTGATAGTTCCGTTAGAGTACGGCAGTGTGAAAATTGTATATAGAGGGTTGAAAGTGAGCAAAGGTCAATTTTGAGGAAGGCACGAATCGGGTTGATCATCTCCTTTACCTTTGCAGTACTCTAACGAAACTATCAACTCTATATTTTCATCTCCTCATCCATCGTATAAAATGATCACTTTAAGTTTGATATTTGACATTAAACATCTCCAACTAAATTAATTCTTCTTAGTCCGGGATTGAAAATCATCAAACAAAAAAATCTTAAGGCACTTCGGAGTCTCACATAATTACTAAGACCTAAAATGGGTTTACCAAGAGAAACAGATGATATTCGTCAATTCAACGACAGTAGAAATTAAATTAAATGCTCAACAAGACATTAACAGTTAAACTTAAAGTTAAGTTGCTTTCATTTAAAAAAAAAATCTTGACTGCATAAAAGAAGTTTGATAATAATGATATCTGACTTATGTATGTCGCGACAGTTGAAAACAAAATGAGTTTTCATTACGACAGAAACAGCAAATTTTAATACCGATTTGCTTTCATTGTGTTAATCAACTTTGCTCGGGGATACTGATAAGCATAGCACACGTGATGAGCAGGACACGAGAGTATTAGATAATTTGCCGAACAATTGACTGTATCCGATGGGTTTCGAACTTACGAATCCCATTCATTTTAAGATTTCAAAATTATTCAATTGTTGTACTTGGTTTTTGTTCATGTTCCAGTAAAAATGTCATGTTTTTTTTTTTCTTCAATCAACTAGACAGTTGCTCAAAAAGCTAATCTTTCTTTATTCTCTAATTTTTAAAGGTACGAAGATCGTTAAAGATACGGAGCCGCCGAAAAGAAAAGGAAAAGCTTCCCAGCGGCATCACAGCTGATTATAGTGCATCATTTTTTGCCCAACTCGATGTCGATCGCGAACAGGACCGAGGAAATGAAGAAGTAGTTGCCCTAGCCAATACAACCACATACATCGACAGCAATGGAGAACTGGTGGAGCGGGTTTCTTTTACCACCGTTAACGTATCACAGTCGGATAGCTCCGAAACGTCTATGAATTCGGTAACTGTTAATCAGGTGAGAAAATGCAACACAGGTAAACATATCATATAGTTCTTACTACAGCAATATTACTTAAAATAGACAATCTTGATGCCTGCAAATATTTATGCTGAACAAGAACAATGTTAAACATCCAATGTACCAATGATCGATTCTCTTCGTTGATTTTCTATGCCTTGATTCCTTGAAGAGTCCAAAAATGACAGTCATGATGGCTAATATGCCCTATCACTCAAACTTTTCTAGAGGACAATAATCGGACACTGTTTTGACATCACTCATGAACTTTGAACTCCCTGTTTGCTGCACTGCAGTTGTATTGTTGTTAGTTTAGGCTCTGAACCATTTGGTGGATTATTTTAACTTTTGGTTAAAATTTGACAGATGGAAAGTTATCGATTAACCCTGCTATCCGAGCATGGTTATTTCTGACAGACAAGAAGTTAAATTTTGACAACCGTGGCTCGAAAACCGGTCGAGCGACAGCACAGGGATTTTCGAACATAGAAAATAACTTTCGAAATGTCACTTTTAACCACGAGTTAAGTTTAACTCGGCAAATGGTTCACAGCCTTAGTGAAAGCTGATATTTGTGCTCTTGAAATGTCGTGGTACCTCAATCAGAAATATGGTTTTTATAGCGGTTCGCCTTAATGACTCGGATACTAAGGCTCTGAACCATTTGGTGGATTATTTTAACTTTTGGTTAAAATTTGACAGATGGAAAGTTATCGATTAACCCTGCTATCCGAGCATGGTTATTTCTGACAGACAAGAAGTTAAATTTTGACAACCGTGGCTCGAAAACCGGTCGAGCGACAGCACAGGGATTTTCGAACATAGAAAATAACTTTCGAAATGTCACTTTTAACCACGAGTTAAGTTTAACTCGGCAAATGGTTCACAGCCTAAAACGTAGTGTCGTGCTTGTCGGAATGGATGCTTTACTTTGAAGAAAAAAAATGTTCGCAATCATATCAGCCACTCCCCAGTTCACTTCATTGTAATTTTTAATTGTAATTGTTCAGTGCATATTCCGTGGCTTCCGCTAAGTTGACGTATCTAGGCATCAACACCAAGATAGTGATGTGACGAGATCGTATTTATCTGTAATATCGATATCATAACGATATCAGATTTTGAGTATCGTTATCGGGTCCGATATACAATATATTCAATGGAAAATATGTTATTTCATTCCCTTTCAACTTAGGCTCTGAACCATTTGGTGGATTATTTTAACTTTTGGTTAGAATTTGACAGATGGAAAGTTATCGCTTAACCCTGCTATTCGAGCGTGGTTATTTCTGACCTCGTTTCTGACAGACAAGAGGTTAAATTTTGACAACCGTGGCTGACTTCTGCTCGAAAACCGATCGATCGGTAACACAGAGATTTTCGAACATAAGAAATAACTAAGGCTGTGAACCATTTACCGAGTTAAATTTAACTCGTGGTTAAAAGTGACATTTCGAAAGTTATTTTCTATGTTCGAAAATCCCCGTGCTGTCGATCGACCGGTTTTCGAGCCATGGTCGTCAAAATTTAACTTCTTGTCTGTCAGAAATAACCATGCTCGGATAGCAGGGTTAATCGATAACTTTCCATCTGTCAAATTTTAACCAAAAGTTAAAATAATCCACCAAATGGTTCAGAGCCTTAATAATGCATTTGGAAAATCAAAAATATCGCCCTCACATATACAAAAATATTCTGTCCACTCTTCGAGGCTACATCGCTCAAAATTCGCCGTGTTATCGAAAACAAATGCTCCCAAGGGCCGAGGTTGTAATATTTGACACTAGTTTTAGAGCTACCTGTAACAAACATGGAAACGTACTCTTCTCAATTGTCCTAAGGCTCTGAACCATTTGGTGGATTATTTTAACTTTTGGTTGAAATTTGACAGATGAAAAGTTATCGATTAACCCTGCTATCCGAGCGTGGTTACTTCTGACAGACAAGAAGTTAAATTTTGACGACCGTGGCTCGAAAACCACTGGACGTGCTGTCAAATCAGTCTACTGATCATTCTTGTATGAAACTGGTTCCAAACGTAAATAAACGCTGTAGGTTTCCTGGGGGGGGGGGGGGGGGGGGTACGTGCTTTAAAATCAGCCTACTGATCATTCTGGTATGAAACTGGTTCCAAACGTAAACAAACGCTGTAGGTTTCTTATGGCTTGTTTACGTTTGGAACCAGCTATGCGAGGTAGGCGACGATTGTTCGTATTTGACAGCACGGGGATTCTCGAACATTTCAGTGCCAACATTTCAAAGGGGCGTAATTGCATTTGTAAACATTGGCTTTAGTCGTCGATTTCTCGTGAATGAAAGCTCACTCATGAAAATGAATGGCACCAGCATGGAGAGGTATGTTTCCTGTATCAACTAGCATTTGTAATTTGGAGAAGTGGGTTTTAAATTGCGAGAAATCGACGTCTAAAGCCATTGTTTACAAAAGCAATTACGCCCCTTTGAAATGTTGGCACTGATTTTTTTAACCACGAGTTAAATTTAACTCGGCAAATAGTTCACAGCCAGTGCCGAAAAATAGCACATGTCTTTGCTGTCGCTCTTCGCATGTCGGTCTCATAGTTGTTTTTGTCAAAACTGAGTTTTTCAATGCAAACTGTAGGGTAGAGAAGTACTTCGACCTAAGCGCTCATTTTGGGTCTATCAAGCAGAAAACATCAAATAAATCCATGATTTCGGCGTTAACAGGTAAATTATGCGTTTGGTACGGTACTTCAGTTCAAATGCTACCGAACGAAGTCAATTGATGAATCTACGTTACGGTCGTCCAGTAGATGGAAATGATGTTAAAATGATAATGACGTTTTGCTGCCTGTCAACTCGTATGGAATATTTTTAAGTACATCATCACTTTTGTGGTTTTGGATTTCAAACCTAGGTGTCGCATGCACTGGTGCAGTTTCGCGTAGATTCTTCAATAAAAACGCGTGATATGAATGTTTGCACCCAATATTCTCAATTACAAATGAAGTGCTCCAACCGAATCAATCTTTATCCGATAGGCCGAAGTGAATTCATTGGCGTTTCAATGCGTTAGGCCGAGTTTAGAATCCGTAGGCCGAGTTTGGCGTCAATAAGCAGTGTTAGACTTTAAACAATACACTGGAGTCGCTTTTTACGTGGTTTTTTTTACACGGTTTTTTTTACGCGGTTTTTTTACGCGGATTTCGGAACTTACACGGTTTTTTTTACGCGGATTTTGGAATTTACGCGGTTTTTTTACGCGGATTTCAGAATTAACGCGGTATATCGTTATACACTAGAGTCGCTTTTTACGCGGTTTTTTTTACACGGTCTTTTTTTACGCGAATTTCGGAATTTACGCGGTTTTTTTTACGCGGATTCCGCCAATTACGATCTTTTCCAACGCTGGGCCCATCAGTAATAATAACATTCCGTTTGGTGCTAAACTGCGCTAGATTAGGAAATGGGTTGTGCTTAATATGCCGGAAATGGGGTAGTTAACTCTAGTTAATCACCTATGTTTTCAGAATACTGGATAAACTCAACAACTTTGTTCTGGAAAAGTTTGGAAAGACAACCAAATTAGTTGTCCCATCACATAAGAGCCAATGTTGTGAACGGCACGAATCATTGTTGGGTAGTTTGTGGTAAAAATAAGGAATTTTATCCTATTTTTTAGTGACTAAAATTGTGTTATAGTCGATTACTAAGTGAAATGTCAATCGATTTGAATAAAACCAGTTTCATCTCAAAGCTAAAATTGTCCTTCAGAATCGTTTGAACCAAATTGACGATAGTAAAGATTGTACTAGAAAAATTTGCAACACTTTCTTTAATGTATAACTTTTTATTGCATCTGTAAAAATTGATGAAATTAAACTAGTTTAGAGTGTAATGTTTACATGTGATAAATCTCGTCACAATCTGTCAAGTGGTTATCGAGATGGTTTTCAAGCCAGAAGTGCTTCGACAAAACATTATGGGAGCGGTCGTGGAATATCCAGGCCAGTCCCACAGGCGGATCGCCAAACAGTTTGGAATCGACTATTCGACCGTGTCCCGTGTGGTAAAATCGTTCAAGGAGACCCAGATGACCCAGCGGCGAACTGGCAACGGAAAAAAAGCGAAGACGACCGACTCCGTGAACGCGAGGAAGGCTAGGGATTACTTCAAGCGCAATCCGAACCTTTCGATTCGGGACGTGACCAAGAAGGTCAATTCTTCAGTCTGGTTCATCCAGCAGACAATGAAGCGGGCCGGACTTCATGTCTTCAAGGTAAGGAAGCCTATGCTGCATTTCCTGTAGCTGTTTACTCGGAGCTGTGTAACTATTCCTGAGGTTGCTTACGCTGGCGGTTTACCGGGGCCTTTAGTTCCGTGGCTGCTTACACTGGTAGTTTGCTGATTGGGTGTGATATCGATCGGGTGATATCGACTGGGTTAATGGCCGGAATGCTGACTGCTCTGGCTGGTGGACTGATCGAGGTGTTGGCTAGAATGTTGAATCTGCTGGCTTGTACGATGATCGAGTGGTTGGCCGGAGTGCTAACTGTGCAGAGTTGTGTGTTGGCTGATGTAATTGTTGGCTGTACTCTGGCTGGTATGATGGCTGGTGTGTTGGAAGATATGATGGGGCCGTTGGTAACTCATATACACATCACTTTAATTCAGCATACCGTGTACCAAAACGAATCTTGATGCAAACTCAACTCTTTTATCCAACATCCCAGTGATTTCTCATGGAAGGGCAGAGGATTTCTCGGCTTCCAACAAAGCGATTATTACGTCAACACATTCCTAACCACTCGGGCGCGCCGGCGTTGATATTGCCTATAGATTCCATAGATAAGCGGAGGCGAAGTAGAATGTAGCCAAACAAACTGTTAGTAAGTGTAGCCAAACGAGCATGACGTCATCATGTCATTTTTCGCGGGGGAAGTATGGTAATATTATGAGCAAAATTATTATTTATTTTCATTCCATTATTCATTCTCTTGAGTTGCATTTATTTATGTTTTAATTCATTGGGAAAAAAGTTTTATTTACCAATCTCAAAATAGCCATTGACTACCAATTACTATTGATTTATTTCGCGGAAAAAGGAAGAAAGAAATATTACGTGATTACCTCGATTCATTGTTGCAAAGATTTTCTTTCCACTTTATTTTGAATCTAGGCGTCGATCACGCTATTGATGATGTTTGAATACTTTACCCTAACATATGTGCTTGAAATTTGTGACCAACTTTTAATGATCTGTCAAATGTGTGGCTGACCATGCCTTGCTTGGTATCTTCAATTTATGTCATAATCCAAATAAAAAAAAATATTTTGGCTAATGATTGTTTCTTTTAGACGAAAGTACTACCTCCTGTGCCACCAAGGCCACCCAAGCGCGGCATTCTGAAAGGATCGCGTTTGAACCTGAACGAATTTGGATCCGATGGTGGAGGCTCGTACTCTTCGATGTCTCCGGATTCTAAAACAGAATTAATGCGAAACACGTTACAAAACGAACGAATGAACTATTCACAGCAATCAAGACATTCCGTGGAAAATCTTAGGATTGTTGGAGAGGTAAGATTCTTTGAATCAACAATAACTCAACAGGTTTCATATGAAATGATGACACTTTGTGCAAGGTGTTAATCAAATCTTCAATTGATGATCCTCGTGGTGAGAGCATGAAATATCGATATAATGATGATTTTAAAATTCCTTCACGGTGAGATATGGGTGAGAATCTTTAAAATGCATGTATTTTTTTTTAACTTAAACACTGGCACTTCGGAATTATAACATGTTATAAGGCTTTCTTGATGAAATTTTTCTTGTCGATAATTATTACAACATGTATAAGTCTGTAGTCTAAATAAAGCATTTTTTTTTTGTTTATTTGGTTTTTGCTACGGAGAAAAAACGTCAAGGCTACTCGATAGACACATTCATTTTTTTTTCGATTTTCGCATGGATAGATAGATTTTAACTTATTTATCCCCGTAGTAAAACCAAATTAAGAAAAAATGCTTAGTTTAAACAATACAAGTATTTTAAAAATTACCTCCCATACCTCCTCGTAAAAGATAAAAACTTTTCGTCTGGCCTTAAAAATATACACATTGAAAAAAAATCAAAATTTCGGTAAAAAAATAAAAAATAAACTGATAAAACTCCAAATAGCGGAACGGCGTTTTAATAGGGTAAGTGTGCTAGTTTTGACACTAGTGCTCCTACTGCCTTAATCAAATTAAAAAATAATGTTTCATGGTTTTATTTGTATAAATATATATGTACTAAAATATATGTTCTAACCTTGTAACTTGTAATATTTTTTGTAAAGAATGAAACAATGTGAAATTTAAGATAAGACCAATTAGAGAACCACTAGGGCCAAAAATTGAAACACACCCTATAGTAGTGTCCCGATTTTGTCAGCTCCTCCGTGCATCAGACTATAATTCCAAATCTTTCTCAATCATGGATGTTTAAGGGGAAGTTCGAAAAAAAAAATACGTTTTGATTTTTCTAAAAATATTGGAAAAAGGTAGGGGAATTTACGTATTCTCGTCAATCTAAGCAGCGTCCGCACTTCTATTAGCATTTTCACAGCGTCACGCACATATATGACGTGTATGTTTGTTTCAATTCATCTGCTGCTTGCTTCTCCATCCATTCCAATCGACAGAATTCTTCAAAACTGTTTGAAAACGATTTTACAACGCTCTAAACTTCTCAGGTGAGTGTGACTATTGTCGTCAACCTCTTTTTCTTCGGCAACCTTCCCATTAGAACTGCGTGTTAACCAGCTGTTCTATTATCGGCAACTCGAAATCAGCCCCATTTTGTAGTACGTATGCTTCATTTGAAGAAAAATCTGGCATAACAGGATTGCTCGGTCCTACAAATATAATCAGATTGAAGCTGAAAGACTAAAGAATCGTTTGGATACATTCAGGGAAGTGTGTTGATGGTAAAACATAGTGAAATTAACGTTTAAATTTTGGTTGCCGAAAACAGTCAATGGGTGCCGAAGCCGACATTTACCCTATCAAAAATCTAAAAAAATCAAATTTTTTCTAATTTTTCAAAGAAAATTCACGTGCATTTTTTTTTATAAGTCATTATGGCATAAAGTTGGACTCAAAAAACCACAAAACATCGACTTTTCTGCTTTGCTGAGAGTCCAATTTTTTTTCATGAAGAGATAGAAAAAGTATTTTTACATGTTATTTTTGACAAAAATCTAAGGAAGAAACTGATTTTCTTGGATTTTTGATAATTTTTCCCAATACTTGTAAAAAAATAAAAACGTACCGAGAATATTTTTTTTATTTTCGGGTCCGTAAGCTTCCCCTTAATATAAACTTTTATGCAATAAGGGCACTGAAAAGCGCATGGGTTTAGTAGAAATTCAGAAAAGGATTACAAAAAGAGGGTTGTCAAAATCGGGTCATTACTGCATTTGTTAAACTTTTGCTTATTGTTAACTCATTTTGCCTCGTATTTTGCTATATAAAATGGATCCGGAATTATGTAATCATTGAATGTTATGATGGTGTTTTGTTTTTGTAAGTTGCATTAAATGTTTGTAAAGTATTGACACATAAAACGGGTCAATTTCACTTTCAGAAAGTCACATTCATTGGTTTTATCATTTGCACTACTCGCTTATTCGCGATCATAGAATCGTTGATTATTACTATCTGAAAGTAAAATTAAAAGCTTTACACATACTTATTTGACTCAGTTGGTAAAGGGACAGCTACAAAGTAAGCCCATGCTGGAGGTGGCTGGGTTCAATTCCCGGTTCGGTCAAGGAATTTTTCGGGTTGGAAAATTTCTCGACTTCCCTGGGCAGTATGATTGTACTTTCCACACAATTATACTAATGTAAGAATGGTACAGGCATCGAAAGCTCTCAATTAATAATTGGGGAAGTGCATCTTCAACACTAAGTTGAGAGTACGCAATAAGCTAATATGCGATAATCAATAAGCTGTAAATGCGAAGAAGAAGAAGAAGAATACGTACTTTACAACTTTTCTAGCAGCTTACAAGCTAGGTCTGGCGAAGACGTAATGATTTTCAAATCAATTTAAACTGTCAAAATCGAACCAGTTTTTACTATTATTTCAAGACGAATTATAAGTAGGGGGAGGAGGGGAATAGTGAGCATCCCGCAGTTTGGCCCTGGATCTCTAGCTGTATGAAACAAATCAACTGGAAGGAGGTTCAATATCATTATGATATTGATCCTACCACCAATAAATTTGTTCCGAACGGCCGGAAGTCCAAGCTGGTGCACGGGATGCTCACTATGCCCCACCTGTTCACTATGCCCCTCCCTACCCGTAGGTATGAGAAAAATACGTAATTCCTGTTTTTTATTATTTAGTTCTTATCAACTACCTAATCAAAACAAACAAATTTATCAACTGGGAAAATCAGACATCTTAGATTTGTTATTGAATAGTCTTTTCTTAATTTTCATTTTCTGCAAGTTTTTCAAACGATATGAAATTAATAAATTGATCAGCTTAGATTGAATATAATGGAATTCAGGCAAATTGATTGGAACGTTGAAAAGTATCGAGGACATCTCGTTAAAAAAATCATTAAAAATACAATGAGTTTCATTGTAATTGGAACCATGATATTTATTGTTAAAACATTAGTCATTTTTGTCGATTACCATAAAACCACAACGAAATTCATGGTTCACAACAATGGAAGTCATGGCTAAAAATATTTCATTATTGATATAAACCACAATTAAATATCTACAATAAACATTTTTAAATCAACAGAACGTTAGTTGATTATACTACCGTTTTGTTAAATCATCTTTATTTATTGTTCAAATAACGGACAAACGAATCAATACTAAAATATTGTTAATCGTAGTTCTACATTATTTTTATTGAATTTGAAATCTATTTCTCTGCGTGAGATTAGTTAGTGCTATGTTAGTTATTTTTATATTTATTAAAGAGGCTTTCAGCCGAACGCTGGTTCGTCTCCGGAGGTGTTATGTGTGTTTTCTGTTGTATGGCCCAATCTAGGAAAATAAAACGTTTTTGGCAATTTTGTGCAATCACATGCTGCCGTTATATAAGCATAAACGTCCTACGGCACATAAGAATTTCATATAATAAAGGACAGTTTTGCATATAACCGCAGTATGTATGTATGCAAAATGTTCCTTAATGACACACAAAATATTCCAGGTGAATCCTGTCAACCTAAATCATCTACATGTGGCAACGTCTCCATCTCCAAGTGCCGGTAGTCTTACCGATACAACAAATTCATCCTTTGCAACGCCACCATTTTCCTTGAGTCCAGTTGGAGAATCTCAAGGATCATACCGCTGGTCTCGGGTACAAGCTTTCGAAGAAACAAGTCTTCCGCTGCCACCAATTAAGTTAGTAACTTTACCACCTGCTCGAGAGCTGGTGATCAAGCGACAAAAAACACCAAGAAATGATTTTGGATTTAGTCTAAGGAAGGCTATGGTTCTGGTTCGAACTAATCCCCTGCTATCACCAATATTACAACCAGTTATTTTTGCCGAACCAAGTGCCAATACCAGCACTTCTACTGGTTTACTGCCCGGCGACCGACTTCTTAAAGTGAATGGATTATCCGTAGAGGAAATGTCTCGTGAAACGATAATTGAAATGATAAGAAACAGCGGGGACAGTGTAATAGTGCAGGTACAGTAGGCGGAACTTAAGTCTATATTGTAAAAGATATAAATTAAAATAAATAATTTTTAGGTGCAACCAGTAGCGGAACTGGCGGAACTTTCCCGTCGTTGTATGACCAGCGCCAGTGACGATAGTGATCGATTTTCATCCATGGATGTTATAGAATGCAATACATTACGCCGCAGTGCCAGCAAACGCCTCAAAGCTGAGGTAAGTCCTTTTGATTTTCTTTCGTAGAACGTTATATGAACTTCTAGAAATCATGACAAGATTTCCGATGTTCACAGTGCTGAGTGTAATATAAAGCGGGATCATCATATTATATAACATTGTCTTAAAGAAACGATCCAGCCTCAGGCTTGTTCTGTCTACTGCTTGATTTAGTTTAAGACCACTTTCAATATAAAAGAAGAACACATCTGTTGCAGTTTGTAACTGAAGATAAACTCATCTTTATTCACTTGTTTGTCAGGAAGGTCTCCGAAGAGAGCAAGAGAGTGTTCTGTTCATTATAATGTGTTAGTGTTATACAGAGCGAACCAGTACACTACAGTCCTCCATCCTTCGACAAGATTCTTTACAGAATCTAATTTGTTACTATTTCATGCATACAAAAATTCTTACAACCGTAATGTTCAATTAACAATCGATTAATTCGACAGCACGTAATGCCTAAATACATTTTCTTCTTTTCACTAAATTCTTCGAAACAGCATGCCCAGAACCGTTTTGTTGATTTCGTTCCCTTATGCGCTCGGACCTTCTAATGCCTGTAATTGAACATTCAGAATTATGGTTAAACGTTCCATTTGCAGAACGGTTAGAAAGGGTTTCTTCAGGAAATCCATAAAAATCAGGTTCATCGTCATCTTCCCTACATCGTTTATTGCTAAGTTTTACCATTGAGTTTCTAGTTGACGTTTTGATTTCATTCAAACGCAACTGATCTCGATGTGCTGATTTGATAATTCCGTTAATTTAAATTTGAAAAACGTTAATCGATATTCTTTTTACAAACGTAGCTAGCATCCAACCAGCGTTCAGCATCTTTTGGGCGATGATTCCGATACCATAACTTGTCTCCTGGTTTCAAGTTATTGAACTTGTCGATTTGGGGAACCACCCGATCTAGTACAGGATTCGAATTTTCAATTGTATCCAGATGACGGGGAACTAAGTTCTGTTTATAACTGTTCTTAGGATTAATTAGATCCAAAAGAATCTTCGGTTTATAAGAAAACACATGTTCCGAAGGAAACGTACTAGTTTTGGTGAGACAACTGTTTCTGTAATTTATAAGGAAATAACACATTTGTTCTTCCACATCTGTAAACTTCATTCGAGAGTCTAACAAACTTTTTGAAAACTTCCTTCACTGTTCGTACAGCTCTCTCCGCCTGCCCGTTGCTTGCAGGGTGATATGGTGGACTTTTGAGAACAACTATTCCTTGTTTTTGCATAAAATTAACAAATTCAGACGCATTAAAAGGTGGTCCTCCATCGGTCACCAGAACATCAGGTAAAGGGTGATACGGTCAAAATTTGGTCAAGGGAAAACGCGTGTAAATCGGTGAAATCGTTTATTTAAAAAATCAAATTAAATTTCTTTTTCAAGTTCAATTAGTATAAAATTCAGGAAAAATATTCAGTTAGGCTTCCGCTTTTCCAAATCCGAATTGCCGGGCCTTACGCTTGACCCCTGCTATCAGATTTTGTACAGCCACCTTGTCCACCTTCTTCGCCGCAGAAAGCCAGTTTGCCTTGAACTGCTGCTCGCCCTTAGCAGTTTTTTTGGTCTTCTTTAGGTTCCGCTTGACAATAGCCCAGTATTTCTCAATTGGGCGGAGCTCTGGCGTGTTGGGAGGGTTCTTGTCCTTGGGAACCACCTGCACGTTGTTGGCGGCGTACCACTCCATGGCCTTTTTACCGTAATGGCAAGATGCCAAATCCGGCCAAAACAGTACGGAACAACCGTGTTTCTTCAGGAAAGGCAGCAGACGTTTATTCAAACACTCTTTCACGTAAATTTCTTGGTTGACAGTCCCGGAAGCTATGAAAATGCTGCTTTTCAAGCCACAGGTACAGATGGCTTGCCAAACCAGATATTTCTTTGCGAACTTTGACAGTTTCATGTGCTTGAAAACATCTGCTACCTTTCCCCTTCCTTTTGCCGTATAAAACTCCTGTCAGTCAAACTTCGTCAGCATCGTCGTGTACAGCCTCCGGGATCGCGCTTTGGCCGTCGTATTTTGTTTATCATCGCGATTTGGAGTCACTACCTTCTTGTAAGTCGATAGTCCGGCTCGTTTTTTGGCTCGATGCACGGTTGTAGACGATACACCCAGCTTATTTGCGGCATCTCGGAGAGAGAGGTTAGGGTTTCGCTTGAAACTACCGGCAACTCTCTTTGTCGTCTCAGCGGCTTCCGGTTTTCGATTTCCCCCCGATCCAGACTTCCTGGCTGTCGACAAACGTTCCCCAAACACTTTAATTACATTTGTAACGGTTGATTTGGCAACTTTTAGCGATTTTGCCAACTTTGCGTGCGAGTAGCTCGGATTTTCGCGATGCGCGAGCAAAATTTTGATACGCTGCTCTTCTTGCTTGGACGGCATTTTGACAACTGAAGAGTGAATTCCAAAATCAAAATAGGAGCAACATTCTACACACACACACCTTCAAAATGAGGGGTGTTCAGGTTTTTTAAATGCAAAATTGAAAGAAATACGTCAAGTTGATATTGACCAAATTTTGACCGTATCACCCTTTAAACCGAATCTTGCAAAGATATTTAAAAACTTTTTAATAACTTTGTTTGTATCCGTACCGTACCTCATATACTCTAGTTCTACCCATTTTGAGAAGCTGTCAACGACTACCAAGAAAATCTTTTCCCCAAAATAGAAAAAGTCAGCATGCACTCTGCTGAACGGTCGACACGTCGGCGTCCACGAAGACTCCACTTTTTTTTCGGTGTGACTAGTGTCTGACTACAAGCATTATAGCTTTTGACATAATGTTCAATGTCCGCATTTATGCCGAACCAGAACACAGTTCTGCGAGCGAGTTGCTTGATTTTCACAATACCATCGTGATTAGAGTGTAATAATTTTAGGGTTTTTTGTTGTAGTGACTTCGGCACAACTACTCTGTTTTTGAATAGCAGGCAACCAGAGTATATTTCAAGGTCATGTGATTGGGCTTTAACATCTTTTAGAGTTCTATCAACTCTATCTGGCCAACCTTTACGGAGATAATCTATAATCTGCAATAGTAGGCCATCTTTTTCAGTTTCTTCTGCTATGAGATGAAAATCCAAAGGAAGTTCTGTCGTAAAATTTAAACTATTTATGCATTCCCTGTCCAGGTTTCCAGGTACAGCACACGGTAAAGGAAAACGGGAGCAAAAATCTGCATTCCCCATTCTCCGAGAAGGTCGATATCTAATTTCAAAACTGTATATGGATAACTCCATTATGAAATTGTAAGCGTGGAATGTTTACCTTCTTTCCCAAACACTCCTAGCAAGGGTTTATGATCAGTATAAATTACGAAATGTTGACCATATAAATATTTGTGGAATTTCTTCACACAACTTACAACCGCAAGTGCCTCCAAATGAAGTATTGGGTATTTCCTTTGCGCATCATTTAAAGTGAAAGAGGTAAAGTATATTAGTTTCTCTTGACCCTCAACATCATGTGCCAATACGCCAGCTAACCCATAATTACACGCGTCTGTAACTACTATTAGTGGCTTTTTAGGATCAAAATATTCCAAAACACTAGGTGTCTGCAAAACTTTCTTACATTTGTCAAACCTTTCATTACATTCGACAGTCCAAATATACTTGGTGTCCTTTTTTAAAAGACTGTAAAAACAGCTCAGTTTTGTTGACAGGTTAGGTATAAACTTCCCATAAAAAATTATGAGTCCTAGGAAAGCTTTCAGTTCCGTTGGGTTTTTAGGTGGATTTGCGTTTGCAATTGTGTCAACTTTGTCTGGATTTGGCAACAAACCCTCACTGGTAATATCATGACCAAGAAAAGAAAGTTTGTCAACAAAAAACTTGCACTTACTAAGCTTTACTTTAATGTTTGCATCATTCAATCGTTCTAACACCTGATACAGCTTATTTTTACAATCCACCCAATTCTTGCCTGAAATCAAGACATCATCCAGATAGCACGAAACTCCTTCAATACCTTGAAGCACCTGATCCATGACCTGTTGGAATATGGCAGCAGATGAAGCTGCTCCTTGAGGAAGACGATTATACGTATAGAGACCTTTTATGGTATTAATTGTCATGAATCGTTTTGAGCTATCTGAAAGCTGCAATTGGGTATAAGCCCCAGCCAGATCTAGCGAACAGAAAACCTTACTTCCAGCTAATGTCGCAAAAATGTCCTGTGCTATAGGTAGTGGATATGTATTCGGAACAATCAATTTATTTATTGATACCTTACAATCCACTACAAGACGTATGTCGTTATCTTTTTTTACTATAGCTATAACAGGTGATGCCCATTCACTTGCTTTAATTGGCGTGATTATTCCACTATTCTCAAGTGAATTCAAATGATTGATGACCTTCTCTTTCATGCGCAATGGTACAGTGTAAGCTTTTTTAAAAACAGGGCGATCTTCTTTAAGAATAAGATCCGCCTCGAAACCAGAAATTGGATTTGAAAAATCTTTACTAAAAACCTTCTCAAACTTTTGTTTGATATCATCAAGTATCACTTCCTTCTCGTCTTTGGATTTCACATTATTCACACAAGCAGAATCTAAGAATTGAGCCAATCTCGGCCAATTAATGGTATAAAACTGTTACATCCTTCTAACACTACTAGCATTACATTGCGCGTCATATTATTCAAAGAAACACACACGTTTATGTAACCTAATATGTTGAGTCTAGCTCCATTCACAACGGAAAGTTTCCGTTTACATGGCAACAGTGATAGATCATTGAAATTTGTTAAATATTTTTGCTCACTCAAAACCGAAACAGCTGATCCGCTGTCTATTTCCATTCGAAAACCCTTTCCGTTAATAACAGTCATTACAAACACCGGTTCATTTACCTGTAATCCTGATGTAATAGACATACAGACCAGATCTTCATCCGAGTCACTCGCTACCGAACGGTCATCTCGCTTAAAGTTGTATCCTTTCTCCTCCTCGGTAACGCTGTTCACAAAACG